AAACATATAGTTGCTAACAGTCATGGTCTTGTAACACTTGGGAGTGTTACAAGACCACTAACAGTCACAGCTACAAGTTTGGGAACTAGAAGCTGTGACTGTTAGTGGTCTTGTAATGCTCCAAATCTTGGAGCTGTGACTGTTAGTGGTCCTGTAACACTTCTAAACTAAAAGCTGTGACTGTTAGTGGTCTTGTAACACTCCCAAACTTGTAGCTGTCACTGTTACTGGTCTTGTAACACTCCCAAACTTGTAGCTTTGACTGTTAGTGGTCATGTAACGCTCCAAATCTAGGAGCTGTAACTGTTAGTGGTCTTGTAACACTTCTAAACTAAGAGCTGTGACTGTTACTGGTCTTGTAACACTCCCAAACATGTAGCTTTAAACTAGGAGCTGTGACTGTTAGTGGTCTTGTTACACTTCCAAACTAGGAGCTGTGACTGTTAGTGGTCTTGTAACACTCCCAAACTTGTAGCTTTGACTGTTAGTGGTCTTGTAATACTCCCAAACTTATAGCTGTGACTGTTAGTGGTCTTGTAACACTTCCAAACTTGTAGCTTTGACTGTTAGTGGTCTTGTAACGCTCCAAATCTAGGAGCTGTGACTGTTAATGGTCCTGTAACACTTCTAAACTACGAGCTGTGACTGTTAGTGGTCTTGTAACACTCCCAAACTTGTAGCTGTGACTGTTAGTGGTCTTGTAACACTCCCAAACTTGTAGCTGTGACTGTTAGTGGTCTTGTAACACTCCCAAACTAGAAGCTGTGACTGTTAATGGTCTTGTAACACTCCCAAACTTGTAGCTGTGACTGTTAGTGGTCTTGTAACACTCCCAAACTAGAAGCTGTGACTGTTAGTGGTCTTGTTACACTCTCAAACTAGGAGCTGTGAGTGTTAGTGGTCTTCTAACACTCCCAAACTTGTAGCTGTGACTGTTAGTGGTCTTGTAACACTCCCAAACTTGTAGCTGTCACTGTTACTGGTCTTGTAACACTCCCAAACTTGTAGCTTTGACTGTTAGTGGTCTTGTAACGCTCCAAATCTAGGAGCTGTAACTGTTAGTGGTCTTGTAACACTCCTAAACATGTAGCTTTGACTGTTAGTGGTCTTGTAACACTCACAAACATGTAGCTTTGACTGTTAGTGGTCTTGTAACACTCCCAAACTTGTAGCTGTGACTGTTAGTGGTCTTGTAACACTCCCAAACTAGAAGCTGTGACTGTTAATGGTCTTGTAACACTTCCAAACTTGTAGTTGTGACTGTTAATGGTCTTGTAACACTCCCAAACTTGTAGCTGTGACTGTTAGTGGTCTTGTAACACTCCCAAACTAGAAGCTGTGACTGTTAGTAGTCTAGGACACTTCCAAACTTGTAGTTGTGACTGTTAGTGGTCTTGTAACACTTCCAAACTTGTAGTTATGACTGTTAATGGTCTTGTAACACTCCCAAACTTGTAGCTGTGACTGTTAGTGGTCTTGTAACACTCCCAAACTTGTAGCTGTGACTGTAGTGGTCTTGTTACACTTCCAAACTAGGAGCTGTGACTGTTAGTGGTCTTGTAACACTCCCAAACTTGTAGCTGTGACTGTTAGTGGTCTTGTAACACTTCCAAACTTGTAGTTTTGACTGTCAGTGGTCTTGTAACATTCTCAAACTAGGAGCTGTGACTGTTAGTGGTCTTGTAACACTCTCAAACTTGTAGTTGTGACTGTTAGTAATTTCTAACACTCCCAAACGAGGAGCTGTGACTGTTAGTGATCTTGTAACACTCCCAAACTTGTATCTGTGACTGTTAGTGGTCTTGTAACAATCACAAACTTGTAGCTGTGACTGTTAGTGGTCTTGTAACACTCCCAAACTTGTAGCTGTGACTTTTAGTGGTCTTGTAACACTTCCAAACTTGTAGCTGTGACTGTTAGTGGTCTTGTAACACTCCCAAACTTGTAGCTGTGACTGTTAGTGGTACTGTAACACTTTCAGACTTGTAGCTGTGACTGTTAGTAGTCTACTAACACTTCCAAACTTGTAGTTGTGACTGTTAGTGGTCTTGTAACACTCCCAAACTTGTAGCTGTGACTGTTAGTGGTTTGTTACAAGACCATTAACAATCACAATTATATGTTTGGAAGTGTTACAAGACCACTAACAGTCACAGCTACAAGTTTGGGAGTGTTACAAGACCAGTAACAGTAACAGCTACAAGTTTGGGAGTGTTACAAGACCACTAACAGTCACAGCTTCAAGTTTGGGAGTGTTACAAGACCACTAACAGTCACAGCTCCTAGTTTGAGAGTGTAACAAGACCACTAACAGTCACAGCTTCTAGTTTGGGAGTGTTACAAGACCAATAACAGTCACAGCTACAAGTTTTGGAGTGTTACAAGACCATTAACAGTCACAACTACAAGTTTGGAAGTATTACAAGACCATTAACAGTCACAGCTTCTAGTTTGGGAGTGTTACAAGAACACTAACAGTCACAGCTACAAGTTTGGGAGTGTTACAAGACCACTAACAGTCAAAGCTACATGTTTGGGAGTGTTACAAGACCACTAACAGTCACAGCTTCTAGTTTGGGAGTGTTACAAGACCACTAACAGTCACAGCTACAAGTTTTGGAGTGTTACAAGTCCTAAACTTGTATTTGTGACTTTTAGTGGTCTTGTAACACTCCCAAACTTGTAGTTGTGACTGTTAGTGGTCTTGTAACACTCCCAAACTTGTAGCTGTGACTGTTAGTGGTCTTGTAACACTTCCAAACATATAATTGTGATTGTTAATGGTCTTGTAACACTTCCAAACTTGTATTTGTGACTGTTAGTGGTCTTGTAACACTTCCAAACTTGTAGTTGTGACTCTTAGTGATCTTGTAACACTCCTAAACTTGTATTTGTGACTTTTAGTGGTCTTGTAACACTCCCAAACTAGGAGCTGTGACTGTTAGTGGTCTTGTAACACTTCTAAACTAAGAGCTGTGACTGTTAGTGGTCTTGTAACTCTCCCAAACTTGTAGCTGTGACTGTTAGTGGGTTGTTCCATGTTCACAACTTGGTGTTATGATTTGGTCTTAAGATAAACTTAACTTCTGTTATTAGTTTGTCAATTTAATTTAACAACTCTCAAACTATAAGCTAGCTATCTGTTTACTTTGATTCCAGTTTATTACCTAAATGTTGAGAAAATTCATAAAACTGTCTAAGTTTATAAACAAGAGGAAGAACAGATTCCCATGCTCTTATCTGTTGGGTTGCATTTCGAGGATTTGCAATAGCCTGAAAAAAAAAATCAAAAATTAGGTATGATGTAAACATGTTTATAATCTTAAAATCATATTAAAAATTCCAACTAAAATCTATCATGAATGCACAAAATGTTTGTCCTTACTCAAAAAGTGGTCCTAAGTAGTCAAAATAAGAAACTGTTTTTAAACTACCAGTGTTAAAAACTGATCAGAATAACATGATATGTTATTTCTACAAGTTGAAAAATAAAAAGCTTTATTGTGGTAGTTTGTTTCTTTCATCACCAACTTTGAGAATGTTCTATGAATAATTCAGATATTTTCATTATATTCTTATGATTTCTTTAGAATGTTTGAGTTTCAATCTAATATTATTTTAATTTATGTCTGGGTGTAGCTTGTTTGCTTTGGCTTTTTGTTATCATTTGAAATACCACCAGATACAGACCTGAAAAAGTAGACAATGACACCAAAATATTAAGGATGAATTTTTAAAAACTTTGCATCATAAGTTAACACTAAAGGAAGAAAACAGTTTAAATAGTTTTTGTTTTTAGTAAATCACAAATAACATGTCCTTCAAAGTTAATGGAAAAGTGTAAAAAACCTTAAACTGATGAACTCAAAACATTTTAAATTTTTTCCACAAACTTTCTCTCGATATTTTTTTCCTCTTTGTTGTGCGAAACTGTTGACCAAGCTACTTAATATTCTACCACTACATGTCTAAGACAGGATAAGGAGCATGGAATACTGCCTGAGCCAAAGAATAAAAAGTGAGCTTAACTGATGTTAGGTCAAATTGCACTTGCTAAAAAAGCATCAAGTTTCCATGGCTCATAATTACGAATATTTTCACGATAAGCCTCGTTATTAGATGCACAGCATTTACAACTTGATAAATCTTAAATTCCAAGACTTGTAATTATATTTCATGTAAAATATAGCTGCAGTATGACTAAATCATTTAGATTTTTTTTTTACAACCAAACCCTAAATGCTGCTTGTTTAAATAATTTGAAACATAAAAAAGTATACAATATATTAATCTGAAAAAAAAATTAAGTAGCTACATATACACATACATTTGTTGATTATCAAGAGATATATAACATAGGCTTAGCTATAATTGTCAATTCTTTAGATTGCTAAATTTCATTTACCAGACTCTCACTAACTAACAGGAAATATAACAAGAACAGCAAACTAAATTTATTAGCCCAAATACCTAACAAGAGGAAATCAACTTCTTTATCAGCTTTTAAAAGACAGAAGGAGGGGAAAAAATTACAAGGCAACAAACTACAGCCCCACAGAGAAGTTGTTAGTTAAAGTAGGTATCAAGATAGTTAATAAGCTATAAAACAGCAGATTTGAGCTTGTCATTCTACATGTAGACAAACTTAGGCTTACCATTCGGATCTCATTTCCTGCTCCTTTGTACATCTGAAGCTCTTGCAGTACATCCCTGGAATGTTGTAGCACCTCCTGAACAATTAAATAAGTATCTTTTTCAGATTCAGAAGGCTGAGCATCTGGAATGGAAAAGAAACCTAATTATTTTTTAATACATTTACTAAAATGTTAGATCTCTCTTAGCTATGTCAAAGAAAACATTAAATGACATCGAAGAATCCTCTTTATTTTGTAATACTTATCTTCTCTGTTACTTTAACTTCTATCTCGTCATTTGTTCTTTCATAGCTTGCTGTTTTAATATACAGAATTACAAAGTTAAATATATAGGCAATGGATATTCACATAAACTTACACATATGAAAGAAACATTATTAATCACTTTAATAAGTAGTCTAGGAGAAACTGTGATTCTATATTTTCACAGTAATAAGTGTTTGTGGCTTAAAATACATAAATATATTATTACTTATGAGGAATTAACTCAGCAGTATTTATTCCTTCAGATGCAGGTGTCTGTTGGTACATAATCATTACACAACATATATTTTCTTATCATTAAACATGTATTACATTACACACACTTCTACTGATAATACTTACAAGTTTCTTAAGTACATTTTGGGCACTCATCTTGTATGATGTAACTTAACAGTCACATGGTATTGGATGTACAAGGCATTTAAAACAGCCACATGACATTGGAGGTACAAGGCATTTATAACAGTCACATTGTATTGAAAGTACAGTGTTTTTGTAACAGTCACATAGTATTGGATATATATAAGCTGTTTTTAATAGTCACATAGTGTTGAATGTACAAGGTGTTTATAACAGTTACATGGTATTGGATGTACAAGGTGTTTATAACAGTTATATGGTATTGGATGTACAAGATCTGTTTATAACAGTCATATGGTATTGAATGTACAATGTCTGTTTCAAACAGTGATATGGTATTGAAAATACAAGGTCTGTTTATAACAGTCATATTGTATTGAATGTACAAGGTCTGTTTATAACAGTCATACGGTATTGAAGGTACAAGGTCTATTTATAACAGTCATATGGTATTGGATGTACAAGGTTTTTATAACAGTCATATGGTATTGGATGTACA